GGCGTCCCACATAAAGTGGAGGAAGATCGGCACGGATGTTAGCTCAGGGCCAGTCTTCCTCAGCAAAAAGAGGAGGATTGGCATGGATGTTAGCTCAGGGCTGATCTTCCTCACACAAAAAAAAAAAAGAAGAAGAAGAAAACATGAGTGAATTCCTCTAAAACCAGTTTTAGGAAAGAATTTGAGAGTGTGATTCAAGACCTACATGCACAAAAATGAATGATTCAAACTATATAATGGATTCAAACTACACATTTTTTTTAAATCTTTTGCTTGGTAAAAAAGGCCATAGTAAATTGAAAAGACAACAAACTGGGAGAAAATATAACATATTACACAGATAAAAGACTGATATCCTTAATATGTACAGAACACTCAAAAATTAAGAACAAAAGGACCAAAACCCTAAAAAAATGGATAAAAGACATGAACAGACAATTCATTGTAATGTCCCTTAAATATATGAAAAGATTTTCAATTTCACTCAGACGAGAAATGCAAAGTAAAACTATACTGAGATAACATTTCTCACCTATGAAATCAGCAAAAATAAAAGTCTGACAACATACTCTGGTGCAGGCAATCTCATATATTGCCAGCAGGAGTGAAAAATACTACAACCCTCATAAAGGAGAATTCATCCATTTTTAAACAAAATTACATAGCATTCACCTTTCAACTCAAAAATCCTACTTCTGGCAATTTATCCTAAATACAAAATACATACTTCCAATAATACAAAATACATATGTGCAGGTTATTCACTGTAGCATTTTTGTAATTGAAAAATATTGGAAACAACTTAAATGCTCATATATACGGTGTTGGGAAAACTGGATAAACAGGTGCAAAAGAATGAAATTGGACCCCTATCTTACACCATTCACAAAAATTAACTCAAACTAGATTAAAGACTTAAACATAAGACCTGAAATGTAAAACTCCTAGAAGAAAATATAGGGGAAAAGCTCCTTGACATTAGTCTTGGAAACAATTTTTTGGATCTGACAACAAAAGCACAAGCAACAAAAGCAAAAATAAGTAAGTGGGACTACATCAAACTAAAAAGCTTCTGCACAGCAAAAGAAATGGTGAACAAAATGAAAAAGCAACCTATGGAATGGGAGAAAATATTTGCAAATCATATATCTGATGAGGGGTTAATACCCAAAATATATAAAGAACTCATACAACTCAATAGCAAAAAACAATCCAATAAAAAAATGGGCAGAAGAACTAACATTTTTCCAATGAAGACATGCAAATAAATAGCCAACAGGTTCATGAAAAGGTGCTCAACATCACTAATCATCAGGGAAATACAAATCAAAACCACAACGAAATATCACCTCATACTTGTTAGAACGACTGTCATCAAAAAGAGAAGAGATAAATGCTAGCGAGGATGTGGAGAAAAGGGAACACTTGTGCACTGTTGATAGGAATGCAAATTTGGTGCAGCCAGTATGGAAAACAGTGTGGAGGTTCCTCAAAAAATTAAAAATAGAACTACCATATGATCCAACAATCTCCCTTCTGGGTATATATCCAAAGGAAATGAAAACAGGATCTCAAAGAGATATCTATGCTCCCATGTTCATGGCAGCATTATTTATTTATTTATTTATTTTGCGGGGGGGGG